AGAGAAAGAGAAAGAGAAAGAGAGAGAGAGAGAAGAGAGAGCGAGAGAAAAAGAGAAAGAGAAAGTGAGAGAAAGAGAAAGAAAAAAGAGAGAGAGAGAAAGAGCGATAGTAAAAAAATCTACATTGGAGGCTGATTGCGAGATAAAACAGAAGTGTTGATTTTGTTTCGATTTTTTCCCCTTTTTTGCCTTTTCTTTTCACCTTTTTTTTAAGTTGTTGTTTTCTTTTACTTTATCAGATTTTTAAAGATTTGTTATCTGTTTTGTGTTTGAATATTTTTCTTTTTCCTTTGTCTTTTAAAACATTTTTATTGTTTCTTACTTAAACATATTGTATTTTTTTTTAGATATTTTCTTATTAACTTACAGATTAAACGAAAGAAATCTGATATGCAACTATACATATTTTTTATATAAGTTCGAAAAAAATATATAAACAAGATTCCTTAATAAAACTGACGAATGAAAATCCAAGCATTCAATCGAACGCAGAAAATATCACTAATTCTATGATAAATTAAAAATACTAATGATGACGATGTTTATGATTATCATTACCATCATCCTTATCAATCATAATCAACAGTATAATCAGTAAATATAAGTGAATTCAAAATAATCATTAAGTACAAATAAGTTACTTAAGGGATAATATAAAACACTTGATATTGAAATTCATAAAATTATTAGATACACATAAACTGCTTTAGGAATAATATTTTTAAAAACGTGCATACGAATTAGATTTTAAAAAAGAAGGAAAGAAAAAAAAGGCCTCGGCAACCATCAAAATGAATTTATTGCAGTCTGCAAGAGGCGGAAGGATATCCCCGTTGCAACACGTCGCCAAAACCCGGAAATATTGTCACTGCAAAGAACGGCTAAATCTGTGTTGCAAATGTTGCTTTTCTCAACGCGTGAGTCGAAAGGTTTTCGCTGCGAACCGAAGCGAGGAACAGCGGTCGGCGCGTCGCTGCCTCGCCTCGGCGGCTGGAGGTGGGGATCCTTTGTCGAAGGAGGGAGACGATTTCATTTTTTTCTGTTTTATTTGATTGTCGTGATTGGAATGAGAGAGGCACGTGTGTGTGTGTGTGTGTGTGTGTGTGTGTATGTGTGTGTGTGTGTGTGTGTGTGTGTGTGTGTGTGTGTGTGTGTGTGTGTGTGTATGTGTGTGTGTGTGTGTGTGTGCGCGTTTACTTTTCTCTCTTTTTTTTCTATCAAGGTGGTGTAGGGTAACGGGCGTATTTCATTTGTTTGGGTAACGGTGGTATTCCATTTGTTTTAGATTTTTTGCTATCTCTCTTTCTTTTTCTATCATTCTCTCTACTTGTATATATTTTTTTTCTCGTCCTCTCAGTTTTTATCTCCGACAGCTACGATTACGAAGCAATTCTCTCATTCTCTTCTCTTTCTATTTCATTTTCTTCTTTTCCTTTTTCTTTTTCTCTCTCGAATAATTCCTCTCGTGATTCCCTCCTGCGATAATTGGTCGACTTTTCATTTTCGGAAATTGGGAGGAAAAGGCAACCAAGCAGTATTTACGACATTGGCGTCCAAGAGCCAGAAAAGCTTTTGACTCGGATTGATGGGCCGGCTTCCGCGCGCCACAAGTTTCCTCCGCGCGGTTTCTTTCGGAGCCGAGCGAAAATTGGGATCCGTTCACTCATTTCGCTCAGTTCGCTTCGCTTGTTCTGTTTACTCATTTCGTCCAGTCTGCTCCGTTCGCTCGGTTTACTTATTTTGCTCAGTTCCCTCCGTTTGCTCTGTTTACTTATTTGGTTCAGTTCGCTCCATTCGCTCTGTTTACTTATTTGGCTCAGTTCGCTCCGCTTCGCTCTGTTTACTCATTTTGCGCAGCTCGCTCCATTCGCCTGGCTTACTCATTTGGCACAGTTCGCTCCGGTCGCTTTATTTATTTATTATTCTGAGTTACTTAATTTGCTCAGCTCGCTTCATTGGCCTAGCTTACTCATTTTGCTCATTTCGCTCCGTTCGCTTGGTTTTCTTATATTGTTCAGTTCGCATTATTTACTCCTTTTGCTCAGTTCGCTCCACTTGCTCTGTTTACTCATTCTGTCCAGTCAGCACTCTTAGCTTGATTTGCTCATTTTACTCAGTTCGCTCCGTCTGCTAACTCTACTGAGCTTTTTCCATTTGCTTGGTTTACGAGTGCTTATTTATTCGACTTTCTCATATTTATTGACTTACTTTATATCATATATCATCATCTTTCACTAATATACGGAAGGCTGTGATAGAAGGGAGGAAAAATCACCATATCCACTTGGACATTAAACCCCCCTTCCCCTTCTTATCAAATCCTCTTAAACGGATTCCCCGGCATGACAATAGTTCCCAGAAACTCGATCAGGAATTCACGAACAAGAACCGAATGAGCTACAAATCACGGTTCGGGACGCGGCCTGGCCTTGTCTTCGGCATAACATGGAGCCAGAGGGACGTGTTCGAGAGAGGGTCAATTTGCGATCGACATGTGTCCGTGTATTCAATGCGAGAGGGAGCCTGTTGCCTTCCACTCCAAGAAGGTGGAAGGAGGGAGGGAGGGAGGGGCGAGACGGAGGGAGGGGGGACGAGACAAGGGGAAAAGGGGGTGGGAGGAAGTGGAAGGGGCAAGCTGGGAAGGGACAAGGAGGTGGAAGAGGCAAGGTGGAAGGGGCAAGCAGGGAAGGGACGGAGGAAGTGGAGGAAGCAAGATGGAAGGGGCAAGCTGGGAAAGGACAGAGGAAGTGGAAGAAGCAATTGGAAGGGAAGAAGTGGAAGGGAAGAGGTGGAAGAAGCAAGGTGGAAGGGAAGAAGTGGAAGAAGCAAGGTGGAAGGGGCAAGCTGGGAAAGGACAGAGGAAGTGGAAGAAGCAAGGTGGAAGGGAAGAGGTGGAAGAAGCAAGGTGGAAGGGAAGAAGTGGAAGAAGCAAGGTGGAAGGGGCAAGCAGGGAAGGGACAAGGAGGTGGAAGAAGCAAGGTGGAAGGTGTAATGTGGTCCGAGAATGAGTGGAAGTAGGTGGAAGATATAAAGTAGGAGGAGATGGAACGAGGAGGAAAGGGAGGAAGAGAGTGGGAGGAACAAGGTGGAAGACAGAGGAAGGTGGAGGGCTGCATAAAAAAGAAAGAATGGAAGAGGAGACGGAAGGAAGAAGGATTTGAAAGAGGTAAAGTGGAAGGAACGGGGTGGATGGAAGTGGAGAGAGCGAGGTAGAAGAAACAATATGGAAGGAAGTGCGAGGAAGTGGAAATGGCAAGACGAGAGGAGGTGGAGGGGGGGGGGGCAGGGGTGGAGGGAGAAGAGGGAAGGGGCAGAGGAAGAAGAGGAGAGGTAGACGAGAGAATACGAAAAGATTCTATCGTGTGTATATGTGTCTGTGTGTATGTGTATGTATGTGTGTGTGTGTGAATGTATGTATGTGTGTGTGTGTGTGGTGTGTATATGTCTATGTGTGTATGTTTTTCTGTCTGTATGTTGGTACGATTTCCAAATTCCTATCTTTTGGCTTTTGGACCTGCTCAATATTTCATACTTTTCAGCCAACAAATCATTCACTAAGTGCAATAGTTCAAGGGAAGTGTGATAAAAATATATATCTGCCAATCCTCAACCATGATTGCGTGCGCGTGTGTGTGTGTGTGTGTGTGTGTGTGTGTGTGTGTGTGTGTGTGAATGTGTGTTGGTAGTTAGTTAGTTCGGTGATGTATGTGTTTGTGCGTATTTTTTCATGTACGAATTTATTTGTTCATATCCGTGTTTGTACATTCACGTGTGTGCGTTTTGTGCGGGTGAGTGTCTCCTTGGGTTTCATTAAACTCACCCGATCGAAGCTGAAAAAACTCCGTGTCTTATCTGCCTTTCTCTCTCTTTCTCTCTTTCTCTTTCTCTCTTTCTCTTTCTCTTTCTCTTTCTTTCTTTCTCTCTTTCTCTCTTTCTCTTTCTCTCTTTCTCTCTTTCTCTTTCTTTCTCTCTTGTTTTCTCTTTCGTTCTCTCCCTCTCTTTTTTTCTTTCTCTTTCTTTCTCCCTCTCTTTCTTTCTTTCTCTCTTTTTCTTTCTCTCTTTTTCTCTCTTTCTTTCTCTCTTTTTCTCTCTTTTTCTCTCTTTCTCTCTCTCTCTCTCTCTCTCTCTCTCTCTCTCTCTCTCTCTCTCTCTCTCTCTCTCTCTCTCTCTCTCTCTCTCTCTCTCTCTCTCTCTCTCTCTCTCTCTTTCGTTCTCTCTCTTTCTCACATTCCCCTCCCTCCTTCACCCCCTTCACCCCTCCCACCCTTTCAACCCTCCCTTCCTTTTCTCCATTCTCCTATTCCTCTTTCCCTCTTCCTCGTCCTTCTCCTCTCCTCATCAAAAATCTTCCTTCTCCTCAACCCCTCAAAACTCTCCGGCCTCTTCCCCCCCCCACAAAATCCCCCGCCCCACCCCCCTCTCACCCCACTAAATTCCTCCTACCCTATCCTCCCCCTCCACACCCCCAACCCTTTCACCTTTCTCCTTCTCCCCCTACTCTCCCCACTCTATTCCCCCCACCTTTTTTTCCTCACTTCGCTCACCCCACTCCACCATACCCCCACCCATCTCCCCCCACTAACCCCACTCATCCCTCTCCCTCCCCCCCCCCACCCTTCTCCCCCCACTCACCCCACCCATCCCTTTCCAACCCCCCACCCATCCCCCACCCTTCTCTCTTCCACCCACCCCACTCCCCCCTCTCCCTCCCCCCACCCATCACCCCCCATCGCCCCCCTCTCCATCCCCCTCCAACCCCATACCCATCTCCCCCACCCTTCCCACCCCACTCACCCCTCTCCCTCCCGCCACCCTTCTCCCCCCCACCCACCCCACTCATCTCTCTCCCTACCCCCCACCCTTCTCCCCCCACTCACCCCTCTCCATCTCCCCCACCCTTTCACTCCCCCCCACCCATCGTCCCCCTCTCCCTCCCTCCCCACCCATCACCCACTCATCGCCCCCTCTACTCACCCTTCTCCTTCCCTCCTCCCCCCCAGGAGCAAAAGGAGCCCCTGTCCCCCGGAGACGACCTGGAGACGGCCATCAACGCGGTGCTGGCGGCCACGAGGGACATGAAGATCCAACTGCAGAACACGGCGCTCGTTCAGGTAGGTTCGGAGTGCGTTGTTCTTTTTTTTATGTTTTGATTTGTTTCCTATTTCTCTTTTTTTCTTGTTTATATGTTGTTTTCAAGGGATTTCTTTTGTGTGTGTGTGTGTTTTTTTCGTTCTTCGTTCTGTCTCGTTTTCTTTTGGTTTGCCTTTTCCGTTCGTTCAGGTAGGTTCGGAGTGCGTTGTTCTTTTTTTCCTGGTTTTGATTTGTTTCCTATCTCTTGTTTTTTATATGTTATTTTCAAGTCGTTTTCTTTTGTGTGTGTGTTTTTTTTCTTCGTTCTGTCTCGTTTTCTTTCGGTTTGCCTTTTCCGCTTGTTCAGATAGGTTCGGAATCTGAGTGTGCGTGTAGAGTGCGTTGTTGTTTTTTTCTGGTTTTGTTTTGTTTCCAATTTCTTTTTTTTCTTGTTTATGTTATTTTTCGAGTCGTTTTCTTTTGTGTGTGGGTGTGTGTGTTTTTTCGTTCTTCGTTCTGTCTCGTTTTTTTCTTTTTCTTTTTCGTTCTATGTTCTGTCTCGTTCGGGTCTGAGTTCGGGTGTAGAATGCGGTTTTTTTATCATTATCATTATTGTTATCACAATTATTTCGTTTTAGTAGCAGTAATAGTAGTAGTAGTAGTATCTTATATTTTCTCTTCCTTTCTTTATTTCTTTCTCTCTCGTCTTTCTTCTTTATTTCTTCTCTCGTGTTACACATTTTCCTTTTTTTCATGTTTACTACGTTTGTCTTTTGAGTTTTATTTTCAAACTTTTCTCTTTTATCGTATTTTCTTGCTTTTACGTGTGAGTTTATTTGCTCGTAAAAGTCCTTATCATGTTATTTTCTGAAATGAGATCAAAATGTTTATTTAAATTTTTTCCAAATGTTTATTTTGGTGTGTGTGTGTGTGTGTGTGTGTGTGTGTGTGTGTGTGTATGTGTGTGTGTGTGTGTGTGTGTGTGTGTGTGTGTGTGTGTGTGAGTGTTTTGAGTTATTTGCACCTCTGCTAATATTTAGATTTTTTTTTTGTTTATTCTATATCATCAAAATAAATATTTAGAGCAAGAATTATTTGAATTTGTCAAGCCCTTGCCTTAAATCCGTGTTTGTTTGCCTTTCTCGGGCCTTTCCAATCTTCAGCTGCAATGGAATTCGATCTCTTCCGAAGGTATATTGTGTTTACATTGAATTCCATCGACCATGCACGTAACTCCCTTTCTGAAGCGATTTTAAAGGCGCTTGTTTCTTTCGTATGTCAGATTCTGCTGCTAAATGGCTAAATTGTAATGTTGTTGTTGTTTTTTCTCTCTCTCTTTTTTCCTGTTCCCTTGTCCCCTCTTTCTCTCGTTTTCTTTTCTTCTTTACTGTGTCTTCTACTTCCTTTGATCCTCCTCCTCTTCCTCTTCTTCTTCTTCTATTTCTCCTTTTCTCCTTTTATCATCTTCCTCCTCCTCTTCTTTTATCATCCCCTTCTTCCTCCTCTTCTGTTATGTTCCACCTTCTCCTCTTCTTCTATTTTCTCACTTCTCCCTTTTTTCTGTCTTTCCCGTCCTCATCCTCTTCCATTTCCTTCACTCTTCTCGACCTCCTCCTCCCCCTTCCCCTCTCATCCGTCTCCTCCTTGTACCCTGTTTCTACTCCATCCCCTCCCCCCAACCTCCCCCACCTCACTCTTCTCTCTCTCTCTCTACCTCCTCTTCTTACTCTTCTTCTTCCCTTATCTCTCCTTTTCTTCCACCTCCTCCATCCCCTTCCCCTCCCCACCCACCATTCTCTTCCTCCTCCTTCCCTCCCACCCCACCATTTCCTCCTTTCCCTCCCCTCCTTCCCCCCCTCCTTCCCTCCCCTCCCACCTCATCCCCTCCCCCACCCACCTACCATTCTCTCCCTCCTCCCTACCCACCTACCATTCCCTCCCCCCTCCCTCCTCCTTCCCTCCCTCCCCACCCACCATTCCCTCCCTCCCCTTCCCTCCCCACCCACCCCTCCTCCCCTCCCTCTCACCAATCCCTCCCACCCCCCCCACCCCTCCTTCCCACCCCTCCCTTCCCTCTCCCACCTCCTCCCCTCCCTTCCCTCCCCCCCTCTCCCACCCACCATTCCCTCCTCCTCCCCCCCTTCCTTCCCCCCCCCCAGGCCGAGGAGCTGGTGAGAGGCGCGTGCGAGGAGAGCGAGCTCATCAGCGCCCTCAAGAACGCCGGCCTCGCCACGGACCAGGAGAGGCTGGACGAGTACGCGGACCGATTCCTCGAACACATAGAGCACATACAGGAGGTGAGGATTAGGGATTAGAGGTGATGATTGGGGATTAGGGATGAGGATTGGGGATTGGGGATTAGGGGTGATGATTGGGTATTAGGGATAAGGATTAGGGATTAGGGTGAGGATTAGGGATTAGTGGTGAGGATTGGGGATTAAGGATGAGGATTGGGGATTAAGGGTGAGGATTAGGAACGAGGATTGGGGATTAGGGTGAGGATTGGGGATTAGGGGTGAGGGTTAGGGAATATTTGGGTTGGATTAGGATTAGGGATTAGGAACTTGGCTGAGGATTGGGGATTATGTGTTGGATCGGGATCAGGATTAGGGACTAGGTGGATTAGGGAGCAGGAGAGGCTGGACGAATACACGAACCGATTCCTCGAACACATAGCGCACATACAGGAAGCGAGGATTAGGGAATTAGGGATTAGGGTCCTGGATTGGGGTCAGGATTAGGGATTGGGGATGAAGTGGGTTGGATTTGGGGGGGGGGAGAAGGATGAGGGAGGTTTACCGGGATGAGGATTAGGATAAGGTGGATTGGAATGAGGATTAGGTATTAGGTAGACTGGGAGGAGGATTAGGGATTGGGTAGATTGAGGATTAGGGATTGGGTAGATTGGAAGGATTAGAGATTAGGGGGTTGGACTGAGATGATGAATAATTATTAGGGATTAGGGATTAGGTGCATCGGATTGGGGCAAATATTAGGGATTATGGGTATCATTATCATCATCGTTTAAATTAAGGCGCATCAACACAGGTTATATCTATTCTTTGTACTTCTTTTTTTTTCTCTCTCTTTTTTTCCCTAAGTCCACAATCATCATCCGGGCCACCACGTAGGATATAAATTTTGACGGTATTAAACTTGTGTCAGACAGAGGCAGTGTCTCTGATTTAACGTTAGGTGTATTCTGCGATGATCCTCTGACGCGAAATGCAAATGCGGAGCCTTGTTTGTTTTCGTGCGTTGCCTTTTTTGGAATACATTCTAGGCCTTTTGCTGGATTGTCACACTTACAATAAAAAACTTTTTAAAATAATAATAATAAAATAAAATAGATTGATAACCTCTAATCTTTTCTCCTCCCCCCTTCCTCCCACTATCCCTTAGGTCTGCAAACTGCTCCGCCACATAGCCACGACAGACTCCCTGCAGGTGGCCGCGAAATACGGCGAGATCAACCTGCGCATCTACGGCCCGCAGGTGGTGACGGCGGCGCAGACACTGTGCCTGTACCCGACGTCCAAGATCGCCAAGGAAAATGTCGAAGGTGAGGCCCTCTGTCGGCCGAAAGAGACACTAGTTTGGCAGACGCGTTGAGGACGCTCCAGCTAGCTCTTATATTTTTTTCCAACCTTCTTTTCTCTTTTAAAAATAAAATTCCTGCTCATGAGGCATTGATTATGATGATGATGATGATTGATTGATGATTGATGATGAGACGTACTTAGTTCATGTCAATTTATTTTACTTCTATTGCATTACTGTGCATCATGCCCTGAGGTGGACAGTCTCATAATGAAGGGCATACTTCCTCTCTCTCTCTCTTTCTCTCTCTTTCTCTCTCACTCTCATCCTCCCTCTCTCACCCATCCATTCTTATTTTTACACACTCCGCTTACGCCAACCTCCCCTAAAAAAAAAAAAAAAAAAAAAAAAAAAAAAAATCGATAAATAACCCCTTCAAAAAAATATAATCAAACCATATACCTCCTTTCTTTAAAAAAATAAATAAATCACAACAATTTGCCAATATTATTATCATTACCTCTTATCATTTTTCTCTTTTTTTTCTCTCCTCTCTCTCCTCTTCCTCTCTGCTCTTGTCATGCATCAGTGTTTGCTGACAT